CCCCGTGTCGCCAGGGCCGGACGCTGCTTGGGAAACTTGAGCGTTCGGACCCCATGGAGGGAAAATTTGTTTCACTTCGCCCTGCTCCGAGGCAGTTTCCTGCAGTGCCCACGCGGCGGCGTTTCCCGCGTGGGCGTTCATGGGTGAACGCCGCCAGTGGCCGGGAACCGGCGGACGATATCGAGTGATTTACGCTGTATGCAGTCGGACGTCATTGGACAGGACACGCGAGAGGACAAAAGACCCTTGAGCCCGTTTCTTTATTGCTTGGGGCATGACGGGCGTCATGGCCCCCGCTCCCCCCCCTCCCCCCATGACGTAACGCTCCCCCCCAGTGCGCTCTGGGCACTGCCGCCGTGCGCATTGGGATCCGCGTAGGTGTCCGCGTAGGAATCCGCATATGTGTCTGGTCCGCAGGAGTCGTCGTCGTCGTCGTCGTCGTCGTCGTCGTCGTCGTCGTCGTCGTCGTCGTCGTCGTCCGTCGTCGTCGCTCGTGGTTCGTCGCTCGTCGCTCATCGTCGTCGTGCGCGCGGACGCGGCTGGAGCCTGTTTTTTAGTCCGGGCCGATGACGGCAATCATTTGGGGGGGGAGGGGTCGATGACGTCACGTTTCGCGCCGGCGGCGTCTGGGAATGCTTACGAATGACGGAAGACGGGTAGCACGAACATGTAGGTGGCGATATGCACCATAACGCCTGTGTGCATCACAGTGCCCGCGTGCACCGCAGCGCCTGAGTACACCACACCGCCGATGTACACCACAGCAGCCGCGTGCAACACAGCGTCAGTTTGTGCCACCGTGCCTGCGGGCACAGCAGCTCCTGCGTACACCACAGCGCCTCCGTACCCCACATCAGCCGTGCGCAACACAACACCAGTGTACACCACAATGCCTGCGTGCAATGCAGTGCCTGTGTACGCCACGGCGCCTGTGTGCACCACATCAACCGTGTGCAACACAGCACCATTGTTGTGTATAGAATTTCAGAAGGGATCCTTGTGACAAAATGGAGCGCGTGTGGATTCCAGAGAAAACAACGGAAAACAAATCCTCATGGACAAAGGAGCGCCGCTGGAATCTACGAGTCCCCCCGAGTCCGCCCGCATCACCCTAACTCCCATTTGCGTCCAGGAGGCTCCAGCTAAATTGGCCGTCCGAGAACCAAGTGGACCGATTCAATCGACCATTCTGCGGTGCACGCTGAGATGCGCACGTGCGTTGTAGCGCCAAGCCGCACGACATAGGGTAAGAAGGAAGAGGAGGAGGAGGAGGAGGAGGAGGAGGAGGAGCAGGAGGAGGAGGAGGAGGAGGAGGGAGGAAGGAATAATGTCGTATTCGATTATCAGAATTTTCCTGGCGTGGCGTTTAGTTGTCCGCAGCAGATCCTGACGTACATGTTCCTTCTACCTGTCCTGTGCACGCAGGCGCTGCGGTGTACACCAGCGCTGCGTTGCACGCGGATGCTGTGGTGTAGACAGGCGCTGTGGCGTGCACAGGCGCTGCGGTGCACGCAAGCACTGTGGTGTACACAGGCGTTGTGTTGCACATGGCTGCTGCGGTGTATGTACACCGGCGCTGTAGTGCTCCCAAGTATTGTGGTATACACGGGCGGTGCATTGCACACGGCTGTTGCGGTGTACGCAGGCGCTGTGGTGCACACGCGCGGCGTGGTGCACGCGAGCGTTGTGGTGCACACAGGCGCAATGAGCAGATCGCCACTTACATGCTGTTCACGTCGTCGTCGTCGCTCGTCGCTCGTCGCTCGTCGCGTCGTGCGCGCGGGCGCGGCTGTGGTGCCGGAGCCACTCGGCGGGGGGGGACGTCACGTCATACCCCCCCCCCGCCCTCCCCCCCCCCCCCATGACGCCCGTCATCGCCGAACATAAAGAAACGCGCTCCTTCCGAGGGTCACATGTCCATAGGAATGTAGTAGGCACGGGTCGAGAGACACAGGACACAAGGGTACCCTTGATTTGGCAGGGTCGACCTATTAATCTGGGCCGACTGTATCTGAGAGCGGCGACGTGTCCTAAGGGTGCACGTCTCACGAGGCTCCAGAGGGCAGCGCACAACTCGGCACGACCCGAGCCTGCAGTGCGCAGGCTCTCCGTGAGGACCGAATGCGCGAGCGATCACGGCATGCGCGCGCACGCGCACGTGCACGTGCGCACTCGTAGCAGCAGCCCTCAGACATCGGCGTCTCCATTGTATCGAGACCGCGGGCCCCCCGACCTCTCGATCGCTTCCCTGGAACCAGTTCTTCATCCCGAGTCGTTGTTTACGGCCCCGAGGCCCGGTGAGGGCCCCGAGGGGCGACAACGAGGAACAACCTCCGTCTTGATTTTTCCCCGACCCGTCTCGTTTTCTTCGAGACGCCAGATGTCTGGGGTCTGCACGGGCGCTGGGGCCGGAAGCTTCGACCGGGCGCACGGCACCTCTACCGCGGTGCCTAGCTCGCCGCTCGGCTCTGCCCGCTGGGAAGGCGCCGATTTCTCGGCCGCGGATCGCCGAGGCAGGCCGGTTCGGCGGCGGCTCTGCCAGCGGAAGGTCGGCGGAAGTAAGGCCGATTACACGTAAGAGTGACCCTTCGCCGGAGTGACCTTTGGTGCGGGCTCACCGGGGTCCCCCCGACCGCTGAGAGCGATGCGATCGTGGCTGCTTGCGCCCTTGGATTTGGCCACCTTGCGCCCCCTCAGTCCGCGCACCAAAGGTCACTCTTACCCAGAGTGACTTTTGCGTGTCGCCGATAAGGGCGAGGCGTCTACATTTTGGGGCTCGGGGGGCTTTCGGAGGCGGCCGCGTCCGAAAGCCATCAACGCGCGCCTCGGGGCTCGCGGCCTGTGGGCTCGGGGGCTCCCTGCACTCCCTCTCCCTCTTCTCCTCCTCCTCCTCCTCCTCCTTTTCCTCCTCCTCCTCCTTTTCCTCCTCCTCCTCCTCCTCCTCCTCCTCCTCCTCCTCCCTCCTGCGCCCCCTTCTCCGCGGTCTCCGCTCCGGCCCTCTCCCTTCCCCCCTCCTCCTCCTCCTCCTCCTCCTCCTCCTCCCCCTTTCCCCCCTTCCCCCCGGCCCCTGCCCCATTCGGGCTGCATCTGGGACGGCTCTGGCTTCCGGGCCGTTCCTAAGAGCCAGTTCGGGGAACCTGCTCGCGGCCGAGGCTCGCCGCGGCCAGGAAAGCCCCTTCGTTGCTTATTTTCAACGTTCCCTCTGATAGCACGACGTCCGTAACCTCGTCCTCCTCCTGGAGGAAGACCAGGAGGGGGGGGGAAGGGGAGAATGAGGAGGAGGAGGAGGAGGAGGAGGAGGAGGAGGAGGAGGACGAGGACGAGGACGAGGAGGAGGAGGACGAGGACGAGGACGAGGAGGAGGAGGAGGAGGAGGACGAGGACGAGGACGAGGAGGAGGAGGAGGAGGAGAATGAGGAGGAGGAGAAGGATGAGAAGGAGAAGGAGGAGGCGGCAGTGGCGATCATGGTGACTTTGTATGTGTAGTGGTGCACGCGGTGATGGGCTTCCTCCTCCGCGGGAGGCTGGCGGGACAAGGAGAAGGAGGAGGAGCAGCAGCAGCAGCAGGAGAAGGACAGCGAGAGCGAGGATGAGGATGATGAGGAGGAGGAGGAGGAGGAGGAGGAGGAGGAGGAGGACGTCGAGGAGCAGGATGGCCAGGCCGAGGAGGAGGACAGCGAGAGCGAGGAGGAGGGAGGAGGAGGAGGAGGAGGAGGAGGAGCGGAGGAGTCGAGGAGCAGGATGGCCAGGCCGAGGAGGAGGAGGAGGAGAAGGAGCCCCCCCCTCTTCTCTGAGACCGCCCACCGGTCCCTCCCGTCCGCAAGCCCCCCCCCGCCCCCCCGCCCCCCCGCAGCCGTCGAGCACCATGGAGTATATCTGCAAAGGCGCTGCGCGGGCGCGGGCGCCGCCGGGCCGCGCTCTCC